ACAGAGAAGAGAATTTTTTTCTTCTTAGGGAAAGCAAGTTGGGCAGATATTTAGTAATTCTTATTTTTCTAATTTTAAATTAGGGAGGTGAGCAATTTTTGGTTGCTGGCTGGGTTTCTTCATCTAACAAAATCAATTGATTCATTTATTTAATTATTTTTCATCTCCATATTTTTCATCCCCATTACCGAAAACAGGGGAAGAGGAGCTGAAGGAAATTCTGGAAAAAGTGGAAGAGGCTGCCGATAAAGCTGCAAAGGTGATGACTCGATATTTGCACATGTTTTCTCCTTTGTTTCTTGATCGTTTAAGCTTGCATTATCGCTTCTTTGGCCTATTTTACGCTAGGTTGTGTTCCTTTGTCACATTTCAGGTCCTAGCACATAAAGTGAAGCATAGGCGCAAGTTTCAAGTCAATCAGAGATCAATTGGCGATTCGGGAGAAGAAACTCGGGCATGACCTGAAGAAGAATGGATTTCTAACTCACTTTATGGACAAAGAATCATGCAATCTTGTCATGAAAAGAAAGAGTACGAGACTACGAGCGTCTGGGATCAAACGGCGACTGATTCGGAGTCCGGACGAGGGAGAAACGAAGCATTGAATATAGGGGAACATGTTCGGCAGTAAAAACACGGGCGCGCCTAAATCAAAGCACGGCCGTGTTCCTGGACCGTGCTTTTACTGCCGAGGCTTCATCCGCGTTTGTCCTACACCAGCTCAAAACACGGGCGGGCTGGAGCAAAACATGGCCGTGCCCTCGACCGTGTTTTGCCCAGTGATGCCCTTTTAGGCAGATTTCAGCCAAAAGAGAAGGGGATTTCGAGTTTTAGAGAGACAGAGCGATTCCTAGAGAGAGAAAACGACGAACAAGAGTTCCCAAGTGCCCTAGCTTGATCTTCATCACCATTGGAGCTTGGCTTGAGCTTGGAGGAGTGCTGATCAACGTCCAGGAGCAAAAATCCATCCGTCACAGTATGATTTCCGCGTCTGAATCTGCTTTTGCTTCTTTCTCCATGGAGTAGTTCTCCCATTCATCTAGGTATGGGAAACCCTAGATCTGTATGCTAGGTCTGATTGTATGAACCCAAGTACAGAGTTTATGAATTGATTATATTCGATTGAGGCTTGAATGATTGAATGACTTAAATCCTGATCAAATTCCTATCGTTTCTGCTTTGACCTAGAATGAGAATATCTGCCTAGGTTGATAGAGTATCCTTAGTTGAAGGTAGTGAATTGGCGACTTTAGTCGAGGAGCCAATTCGCTATTCTGTACCGAATTCAATTCGGTAGTGGAGGTTTGGTTCGTTAGGGCCTCAATCTGTTTACTCCGGTGGAAGTTAGTCGCCCGCTAGAGACTCAGATTGAGAGGGTCTGAAGACCTTTAGTCGAGACTTCAGACTGTTTAAGAACCTTCCGCAGTATAACTTTCATGAAAACTGAACTTGGTAAATTGCAATCCGGCTTAACTGCAGTCTAGGGGAAACCATATCCGGGTGACCTTTCTCGACTTGAAACAACCATTTAACTTGCTTTGTGTTTTTGTTTGTTTGAACCTACACTAAAGTTTCACTGCTAGATAACAAGAATTCACCGAGTAGTCATCAAATCTAGGACCCGGGTTGACATTAAAACCCAAACCCGCTATACTACGCTTTAGGAAGTGGTTACACTTGGCCATTTTCTAGAGTGACAGTAGGAGTGAGTCAAAAGGCTGCCGACGTTACCCAACCCGTCCTTGATAATTATAACATTAATTTATTTTTTTATTTTCTTTTTCGTAAAAATGAGTTGGATATTAAAATAGATTAAATTTTATTTTATTTGTTATTTTTTAATTGCCACGTCACTAAGTTAACGGTCAACTTTGAGAGTTGACTGCCACATCAACTAAAGTTAACGGAGTTGGACGGAGAGTGACTAAACGTGAACGGTTTCAATAAACTAGAGTACCACCAATGGATTTAAATATTTCGAGTGACCAAACTTGAACGTTTTTTGTAATCTCAGTGACCAACCATGCAATTAACCCTAAACGAATTTGTACAACAAGACATAAGTAGAAATTGAATTTGTACAATAAGGTTAAGATACATGTTCAATTTATACCATAAAAAATCAGTATGAAATTATAGGTACAACCTAAATTTATAATCTAACATAAAAGTAACAGTTGTGTTTTTTTTTTCATAAGTATTCTTTATAAATGAAATGATTGATACTAATAAGCATTATAAAGTTTGTCTGAATACAAAAGGTACTTATACTTTTTTTTTTTAATTTCTGAGTGATAACAATGGAGGAAAATAGTTAAACTTGCAATTCTACCCAGTACCCCTAAAAGACTCTAAAGAAGCCACCCAAAAAATCAAAACATTATACCTCTAAACGAGACAAAAGCAGTGCTTTACGCGCCACTCTATGGGCAGCACTGTTGGCGGATCTAGGTACCGCCCTAAACTCTATACAAACAGACAAAGAGCTAAGGATCTAATGACACTCTCATAACACCGGACCACCAATCGAGTCTTCTATGACGCCTTGACGAACTTGTTTGACGACCGCTTCGGAATCACCTTCGACTATCACGCGGGTCAAGGATCTTGAGGCTACGATGGAGAAAGCATCTCTAAAGGCTAGAAGCTCTGCCAGGTAAGGATTGACTATTCCTTGAAGCTGCAGCCCGAACGCCAACACCACATGCCCGTCTGACCCACGGATAACAAGCCCAGACGAACATCCGATGACACAAACAGCAGCGTCGAAGTTGATCTTCAAAAACATGGACCAACAAATGCCATTTTCGCATTAAGCACAGAGTATGAGAATGTCATTCACGAATGAGGCACTGCACTTAGGGGTGGGCAACCGGTTCGTTAAACCCGACCCGACCCGAAACCGAATTAAATCGAACCGAAACTGAATTAATGTTATTCGATTAGGAGTTCGGAAGGAAAATATGGATAGTTCGGAAACCAGGGTTCTTTCAACCGAACCGAATTTTCGAATTACCGACCGAAAAACCGAAATACTATAATTGCAAGCTCCAAATGGTGGGTTTTTATGTTTGTAGTTGTTTTTAGACTTGAATATTTGAAATATTTTATGACTTATGTGTTGAAAAGTTTGATTTTATCATTGATAATGAATATAATTGCATATTATTGTTTATATTAGAGTTAAAAAATATTTTAAAAGTAAAAGATACAAATAGCTTAACAAATTCGGTTTTGAGTGAAAAACCGAACCGAATTATAATTCGGTTCGAATTCGGTCTGAGGTTTGGGAGAATTCGGGAACCCGATATTCATAATTTTGATTCGGTCGAAACTGAACCGACCGAATGCCCACCCCTAACTGCACTTTCACTTTGCCTTCCTTTTAATTCAAAGTTTTTTTTTTAATTTACATTAAACAAGGCACAACAATAAAAAAAAATATTATTATTATTATTATGATGAAATAGGATTATTACAAGTAAAACAAGCACACCAAGAAAATCAAAACATCGAAGTTACAAAAAAAAAAAAAAATGAGTACTTTAATTTAAATTATATCAATTAGGTTTTCAACTTACACAATTTTAAGAAAGCTTCTGTAAAGGTAATGAATAATTTTTTTTCAAATATCATTATAAGTAGATATTTATTTTTAAATTTTGAAAATAGTATGAGTTATACAATATTGACAAATACTATTAATTTGTTTGGTTGTTTCTTTTCTAATTCGTGGTATAAAAAAATTTAGATCTTATTTTTTTAGTGAAAATGGCACATGGTATACACATTGAAATGTATTATTAATTTATTTATTTTCTAATTAATATGAAACCTATCATGCTAGAAATTTATAGTTTAGATATTATTTAGAGTAACATTAATCACCCTAAAAAATACAGTTATCATAATATTAAAAAATATTTCCTTTTATTATTTTGATTCATTTTAGTGTCATTTTTTTGGCAATAGAGTAAGAACTTCGGCCTTCCCGGACGCAAAATCATGGCTCTTGCCCAATTTTAAAATATATAAATAGGCAACATAATAATATTTAGGAGATAAGTATTGCTGATAATATAGAAATTATGACAATAATTCAATCAATGACTTATTTAAAGTGTATAAAGTAATACTTAAAAAAGTGTTATTATTGTTACTTTTTGGCAATCCCTAATTGTTGTATTTTTTTATTATGAACAATGCTTTTATTTATCATGGATGATGAGAATCATACTAATAACTGGAAAACCAGATGATGACAACTTCTCTCTACGCATTCATGTTGTGATAAGATTTTTAAATAAATCTCCTATTTTTCTTCACGAAGATTTTTAATTATGTATGTATTTTAGTAGGAGTAACATTCCTAGTTTTACTAACTATTATACCTAGGTAGCGTATGTTATACTTAACGAACCATATTTTACTAACTATTGTTACTTACAGTATTCCTACTAATTATTATATAAACATATGTTATATGTAACAACTGTTATATGAACCGTATTTTTACTCACTATTTTATGTAATGCATTAGACAAACTTATGTTTGTTATACGTAATTGTTATATGTATGTTATATGTTATTTTAAACACTTTTTTTAAGTGTTGCCGATAATATAACAATTATGATAATAATTCAATCAATGACTTATTTAAGGTGTATAAATTAATACTTAAAAAAAAGTGTTGTTATTGTTACTTTTTAGCAATCCCTAATTATTGTATTTTTTTTTAATTATGAACAATGCTTTTATTTATCATGAAAGGATGATGAGAATCATCTTAATAACTAGAAAACCAGATGTTACAACATCACAAACCTGATTAACAAATACAAATAGAACACATCTGCTGCTTCTTGCGACAGGCACGTACGTACGCCCACCATGACGGTGGCAACCTGCTGTTGATCATGGCGGGGCTGCTCGACCTAGTGGTCGTGTCGGTGGCTATGGCGTACATCACACGGTGTGTTCGAGCTTAGGTGCAGGGAAATGATCAGCCTCAGCCTCAGCCTCCAGTACTTCCACTTGTGCGCCCTCCGCCGCCTAACAGTTCTCGGAGCAAGACGAGTCGTCGAGCCGTCGGAGTGTTCCATTTGCCTAGAAGAATTCGAGGCTGGTGTGGACGTCCGACAGCTGGGGAGGTGTGGCCACGTCTTCCACTTAATCTGCATAGATAAGTGGCTAGACGGTCAGGCAACATGCCCGATGTGTCGGGGGACTGTCCTTGATTTCTAAAGTTCTTTTTTTTGCTTAATTATTATTGTTATTATTGTTATTATTATTATTATTATTATCCTATTAAAAGAACAAGCAATGATGGTACTATTACTTAGAGTCACATCATAAGTGGTGCTCTTTCCGTAATTAACCAAAGCTTGGAGGAGGTTTGTGCCATTAATGTTCTAATTAATTAACTTTTGACAATTGAGCCCAAATTGAACTCAAATAAATGAGTATTATACTTACTTCCGATACTCTAACCCAAGTAGTACACAGTAGGACGTCTTCTGCCATCGTAAAACCATCTCCTCTTACACCGGATGCCATTTGGTCACTTTCAAAAATGGAAAAGATTGGAAGGGCAAGAGTTGAGAGAAGTTGGTTTTTTGCTTGAATGAGTTGTGCAGAAACTAGTGGAAAACACTGAATATATAGAAAAAAAAATTATGCCTGTTATTTTATGCCCGTTAAAATATGACCGTTGAAATATGGTCGTTATTTTGTCCGTATCTAAATTAAAATAACAACAAAAATGAAAGAAAAAAATAGAAAAAAAAAGGAAAAGCAACAAAAAAATAAGGGGTCCGCCAAGGAAGCAATTTGTTCTTTTGCTCCCATTTGAGTGCAAATATGCCCCCATTTTTGCTCCCTATTTTTTGCAAAATTGGAGGGGATGAAAGTATATAAATACCATGGTCCAGGATACCGGACCGGACCTGTAGGAAACCATTATTGGAGACATTCCAAAATTGCATCAACCACCTCCAACAATCAACCACTATATTGAAGACTACAGTGGAGACATACAATTAATCCACCATTCCTCATCAAACCTCACACATATCAATGCTTCTTATCCTCTGTAGACTTCATGTGCTCCAGACAGGCAACCCATGTTACTCGATTTCATTCACCATATTTGTTGTTCTTTTCTCTGTATAAATAGAGTAGGAACTCTTATGTAATCTCAAGCTTTTCAACATAATTAACTCTTAAGTAATCGCCGGAGATGGAGAGTTAGGCGAGCTCGACTTGCAACTTGCAGCGCCTCTGCTACTGCTGTGTGGAGGAAGAACGAAATTGTAACTGGGGATTGTTGGGATAGACGATTAGAGTTTTGCATTTTGATATTAGGACAGATAATTAACATTGGTATAATTAAACATGTATATATTATAAATGAAAAACTCTTAGTCGAGATGGTAAAGATTTCTCATTGTCAATCACTAAATTAGTGGTTCGATCCTTGCTTCCTACTACATATATTGGATTTTTTTCCCCGTCCCAAAGCCAAGGGGGTGCATGCAGCCCCCTCAAGTGTGCACAGCTCCGCCACTGCTTATAACCTACTGGTTTACCTACGTATGCTACTACTAAATTATGTATATGTGGTGTTTCTAATTGAACCTTTGAGAAACCAAGGGCATGCACCCCCCTCAAGTGTGCACAGCTCCGCCACTGCTTATAACCTACTGGTTTACCTACGTATGCTACTACTAAATTATGTATATGTGGTGTTTCTAATTGAACCTTTGAGAAACCAAGGGCAGAATGTGAAGCTAATGTTGTGAGAATTTGGTTATTAACTCGTTTGTGGGTTACAGTTTATGTTTATGAACTTATTGTTAAGATGTTATGAATTTGCTTTAATTTGGACATGAATTGCATGTATTTATTCACTTGTATAAACTCTGTGCACTCATATTTTGCATAATACATGTGGTACTTAACAGATTTTTAACTATTATACATGATGCATCAAAAACTTACGCTTTTACGCTTTGATTCGTCGCTTTTCGATTTTATCCCTTTTCCGCTTTTAGCTAGAATCGCGCTTTTGACTGCATTGATCTCATCTGCTGCTACCGAATCGACTCACCTATCGGAGGCAGCAGTTCGCCACACCAGCCCCAGCAAGTCTACTCTTCGTCTTCTTCCCCCTGATCTGTGCGGGTCGTCGCCATTCGCCGTGTTTGTCGATCTGCCTCTGCTATGATCTTCTCCCAGCCAGAGATCCATGTTCATCGTTCGTCGTCTTCTCCTCACCTGCTTGTCGTCTTCCCCCGGCCGTTCGTCTTTGCCGCCGTGATCGCCGTCTTCATTCCCGATTCCACCGAGGTCGTCGATAAGCAACCTCCATATATTCTCTGTCAGCGACCTTCTGCTCTTCAATCTCCGGCGACACCATCACCCAACCAGGTTTGTTCCTTCTACCCGCTACGTGTATCATCCGTCAACATGCCCCTCACTAGAACCTAGTTTGTCCCTTCCCCTGCCATCACACGCCTGTCCTTTCTCCCATTCAATTCTAATATCCATTTCGTTTTTGCAGGTTTCTCAATTGATTAGTTGGTTGGCTGGAGCAAAAGAAAATTGGGTGTGATAAATAATTGATTTTGGATAGAAATTGATATTAATAGATCAGGGGCAGGGTGATTTCGGCTAGCTTTGAAGAGACATAATGGGTTGGCGGAAACAGTGAAGTGAGATGACTTGCAGGGGATTGTGGGTGCTTTGAGTTTGTTTCTGTTACCATTGTCATATGCAACAAAACACTAATCATGATTTTCTTTTTCCCGAGTTATCTGTTAATAATCATAGACTGTGTTTTGTTAAAATAAAAGTTAGGATGGGAATTAGTAAACCCTAATAAAGTGTTAGTACATCGTTGCTCAATAAAGTTATATTCTTCCAATAAAATTCTCTTCAACATGTATATGATTTGGTACACATTTGCAAATTGCTGAAAAATTGTCCGGCATATTCCGATACATCTGGTATTACTCCGAAACGGTACCTTGATTTTGTCGGCACGATTTTTTGATAAAATTTTTTTTATTACTAAAATGGTATTTATCGGTATGAAACGGCTGAACCACGATCGTACCACAAAATACCCTACCAGAAAGGAATCCGATATGATGTCCGGTACGGTTTCCTTTACCATGATAAATACACTTATAGCCATTTGCTCCATAGTTGGAGTTAGTCTTAGAGGGTGGAGGACAAAGGGAGGGCTGGTGGCCGGTGGAATCAGGGGGCAAAGTGCAGGCGAAGGGCTGGCGACGGAGTTGTTTCTTGTAGTAATTATGATGCTTTTGCCAACACTATGCCTACAACAATAATTAGCAATTGTTTCTTGTACTCATTATGGTGTTTCTTTCTGATAGTTGGGTTGTTACCAATATTGGTTGCGTCTCCTGGTAGATCAAGTCTATTTGTATTTATAATCAGGTTTGTGATGTTGTAATTGTAACATCTGGTTTTCCAGTTATTAGGATGATTCTCATCATCCTTTCATGATAAATAAAATCCTCGACGCCTCTCTTCCTTTCTTTTTATTGAAAAAATGAAAAATTAATTTTTGCTAATATTAAAAAAGCAGCCATCACCTTACCCTTTTAAATTCACATTTTTTTCCTCTCCTTTTATGTCTATTAAGTGTCGAGAGATTTGATTTGTAACATAATATAATTAAGAAATCTTTCAGAATATAAAATTTTATTGTGGTTCACTTTTAACAAATAAATTAAAAAATAAAATTTATGAATAAAATTATTATGTCCATTTTTAATTAATTAATTTTAATTTTAAATTTTAACTTATTTTTATCAACCGACACACTTATTCAAGAATCCTAGGTCGGCCAATGTTTGTATCGTAAATGAATTTGTACAACAAGATATACTACAAATTGAATTTGTACAATAAGGTTAAGACACATGTTCAGTTTATACCATTAAAAAATTTGTATGAAAACATAGGTACAACCTAAATTTATAGTCTAACATAAAAGTACCAGTTATGTATTTTTTACCATAAGTATTCTTTATAAATGAAACGATTGATTCTAATAAGCATATTATTAAACTAGCTTTTTACCCGGCCCGTTGGCCGGAGAGATTTAATTTATAATTTATATTAATTAAATTATTCATATGTTTAAATCATTTTGGATCTTCTCAATATCTTTTGTTCTTGATTCATAAAAGAGTTTGTAGTATGTCTATATTGAAAATTTCCAATATTTAGCATACTCACTTCTGATGTTTCGATTTTCTAATCATAAATTATGTCTCTGTCACGTCCCATTTAGAACTTATGTCAAAATTTGTCAACCAAATCACTAATATTTAGCGTACCCCAACCTGAACACCCCCCAACACACACACATATATAGTTCAAGCTAGCGTGCGCCAAGAGTACGCTATACTCTTGCGTTCACACTACCATACGACCATTGAGTTTTACTATTTAAACTCCGGAGTTTTTTTGAGCATGATACTATACCCTAACCTCTAATAGGTGAACTCTAATCCATAATTCTCTAACCTCTAATTTATGCAAATACTTTGTCATACATATCTTCTATCGTATCTTGAGTAAAATCAAAAGATAGTATACATTGATCTTATGTGTGTGTATATATATAGTAGACTCAAAATTATCCAGATACTTCCCCAGACCTATCTTATTTCGCCTCATACTCGTATTAAAAGTGCTACTTGCCTATCACCCACCCTTGGGATAGAAATCCTGCTTTTACCCCATAACGTCAGACAACCATTGGGGTTGTCTATCGTTTCATATGTAATATATAAAGAGGCAAATTCTAAGAACCTGCTGTTTATTTCTTATCCTCTCCCGCCGCCCCCTTTATGGCGAATAAAAGGGTAGGGATGATAGGATCATAGCTCGATATGGTTTTATTCTGTTCATCGTATCGGAGGTTATGTTCTTTATTTATTATTTTGGGCTTCTTTTCATTCTTCTTTGGCACTTATTTGTGATCAGAGGCATTTAGCCCCCGAAAAGGGTTGGAATTTTAGGTCTTTTGGAAATCCAATACACATTCATGATCCTCAAGTTTGGACGAACTCTCGACCAATGTTGTAAAGATTAGGACTTTTTAGTGAGAAATTCTTAGTAAAGATACTTCATTATTGGATCAATTTATTCATCCATATTGAAACTTGACACACACCGTAACCCTCGTGATGATTAAATTCTATTAT